ACGAATTACTAAAAGCTTCTTTCCGAAGATTCTACAGCGAACTTATTATCACTAGCTTCTGATTATTGTCAAACATTGTATTCACCTGTTTCTCGATGCCAAATAGTCATCTACTTTTTTTTTAAATTACTAGCACTCTACCGTTTCAAAAATATATAATATCTTTTATATTTTATTATATCGACAAAAGGCAATACTAGAAATGAAAAATACAAGAAAAGCAATAAGAAAAAAGTAGATTTTTATGAAATTATAGATGCTAATTTATTTCATGAATTTGTATAGAACAATTCAGCTTTAACTGAACAATTGATATGTCTTTTTAATTTCTATCAGGTTCTATCGTACTACAAATGAAACGAAGATTACACTGAGTTCTCTTTGAGATTTCTAGTATCTTCGATGATCTAGAACGCAAGAAATGCATAAAATCCGCAGTCTGGCAGCCAGTGAACAGAATTTCCGAGACCTGATGATCAACAATCACGACGCGAGCTCGCCCCGGCGAGTTTGGCTCGCGGAATAGAAAACAGAGGGGGAGAAAGCAGAGGGAGGCAACAAGACGTTTCAACGCAAGCGCAATTAAACATACACAGAGTACAGGTGACGCGGTTGCTGTCTCGATCGGACGAGGAGCCTGATTGATTCGTTGGTACGTTCGCCGAGCCACGCTAAACCGTAAGACACAATCAAACTGACAGAAAAAGAAAGAACTTCGTTTCTCGCAGACGTGACACACGCGTGTCGTCGCTGACACCCTTGCCGAATGCACTCTTGACAGTGTCCTCCGGTTAAATACATGAACGAGTTTGTAAATCCGAGATACAACGGGGAACTTGATAAATGCTCGCTAATTGGGGACCACAATGTATAATTAACGAATCATCGTTGGGAAAAATTGAGAAATCGTAAGTAAGAAAATAAGAAAATTGACAAAGGATATATAATCTTCAAATGTGACGAGAAGTCATCGACCTTCGTGAAGAGTGTTAAATTTATAAATTTTTATTTTGCGTCAACATTCTCTTGAATAAAAATAATAATAATAACATGAAGAATTTTAAAATAATTTAATTTATTCTAGTGAATTCGTTGATGACTTTTCTGCTACATTTGCTTCAATGATTCAAATACGAGCATTTAACGAGCCCCTTTAAAGTTCGACGTATCTGCCACAGTGAGTATGTTTATGTTTGTGACATGTATGCGGTTTCTTGTAACTGTGTACGTGAACTTTGTCCATGGGAGAGTGTCACAATTGTTGTCGCTTGTGGTGTGTCGATGTCTGTTCCTCGACGATCAATTCTGCTGTAACACACTACGACACAATACTTTTCTCACGCGAGTCATTGAAACTTTAATTAATCATGAAAATTAAAACATATCAGTATTATTATTGTTGTTGTTATTATTATCATCATCATTGTTGTTATCATCGTACGATCCGATTGCCCAATAAAAACATACAAGCATATTTATACATCCATGTACACGTTGAAAACATCATACATAATTAATTTGTTGGTGCAATAGCGATTCGGCGAAACGTGCTGATACCAAATGGTAAAAAACCCTAGTTTAGGCGTCAATACGGTTTATACAGCAGAAGTGTTCGCGTGGCATGCACATTGAAAAGAAGAAAAAAACAGGGTTCAGTGAGTAGTAAAGAAGTCTGATCAAACCGTGCGGAGACGTTCCCTTTAAGCTGCACCGGAAGAGCGGCGATCGGAGAATTTAGTCGTGTTAGACCGCTTTCACATGTTGATACCACGTATCGCGGCACGCGTGAGCGATACACAATCAGTAATAAAAAATATATCAGTAATTGTTCAAAAATATTTGTAGTATCACTTATTTGTCTTTGTAAAAGTGTAAATGACTGAAACCATGCTATTATTACAGCTCCAATGTAAAAGCACTAAAGAAAGATATTCATGTTTCTAGTAGTTTTTAGTGGGTCTGCTGTAAAGTCTACTATAAAGTGTACTAGTAGTTTAGTAGCTTGTCTGTAAAGTCTACTATTAGTTTAGTAACTCTGCTGGAAAGTCTACTATAAAGTCCACCAGTAATTTAGTAGCTCTGCTGTAAAATCTACTATAAAATCCACCAGTAATTTAGTAGCTCTGCTGTAAAATCTACTATAAAGTCCACTAGTAATTTAGTAGCTCTGCTGTAAAGTCTACTATGAAGCCCACTAGTAATTTAGTAGCTTTGCTGCAAAATCTAATATAAAGTCCACTAGTAATTTAGTAGCTCTGTTATAAAGTCTACTATAAAGTTCACTAGTAATTTAGTAGCTCTACTGTAAAGTCTATTACAAAGTCTATTATTACTAGTAGTTTAATAGCTACAAATGTACTCTAATGCAATTTGATTTAGTGTTTCGTGTGCTGCCTATACACGAAAAATATAGCGAATACTATATCGCACGAGAATCGTCATTCGAACGTTTATATGTGTATTCAGTATTGATTATTTACACGTGTACCGCCATATGCGTATCCCCGTGTGAAAGCAGCTTTACGTGCGATTTTAGACACATTGACTCCGAGAATGAATATCCTTGCACACGCTCACGCATACACACCTACTCGAAATGTTCGAAGATCCACACGTACACGGGGAAGATCGAACCCTGGAGGACTTCCATCCCGAGGAGATTTACTTACCGATCGCTAATGAGACAAGCGAGACTCTGACGAGAACGCCGATCGAGCGGAAACACTCGAAATCCGGGAAACATAATTACCGATCATGGTCGGGACTCACGAGCGACCCGTCTCTGGGTGGTAATTGTGTTTGTGTTCGTAGGAGAATTAAGAAAAATCAAATTGAAAAACGAAAGGTGATGGATTGAAGATTGGTAATAATCTGTGTAATAATGAAAAATTAATAACTGATAATTATGAAGAAACCATTTATCCACGATTTGTCTCGAAAGCTTTCAAATGTGAAAAAAGCAATTTTCTTTAATACTGAATGTGTTTAATACTTTAAATTTAAAACTGTGTTACACAACTTTATCATCTTTTCATTTATTTGATAGATTGCAGAGTCACATCATGGATAAAAGAAATCTGTTCAATCGTTTTATAATTCATGAAGTTCTCACTCTGCAGAAAACTGTGTAGTAAACAGTAAATATAATTAATGTTTGATCAAGGTAAATGATCTCATGTGTGTGTCGAAACTTTTAACTGAAAAATAAAATAAAAATTAGATTAATCTCGATTGAAATTCTCAATGTATATGCTGTTCCAACGAAAAATACGACAGAAAACGATCGAGGCACGTCCGTTCCGAACAGAATTCTCTCGAAAATGTAGCTTAAATTTCAGTCTAACGCCCCAGGAAGCTCTCCGAGAAAAAACTCCAGAAACCATCAGCTTCAAGAGGGTTGTTAAATCCGAAAAACCTCGTCGAATCGCCTGCCAATCCGACCAACACCCCCGTTATCCGAGAATCGGAAGTGAACTCGCCGTTCTTATGGCCAACGGCGTAGCCATAACGGGGACCAATACAGAAATAATGAATCACATCACGAAAAAAGGCACGCAGAAATTTCGCTGACAGCTCCATTGCGAATATTGGGATTGTTAAGAGCCACGGGGACGCTGAAAATCGATGTAAACATAATATACACCGATGAGATGGGAAACGAGACGCGTGACCTAACAATTTCGGAGGAACTCCCCGCGATGCACAGTGCGTTGCGACGAAAACAACAATCCGTTCCTTCAGATCTGTGTCAGTGTAAAATAAGTAGTGTAAAATAATAAATCTAAAACAATCAGTTGAAATCAATGACCTTTCCAGAACAGCCAGTTACCACGAACAGAAATATTTTAAAAAGTGGTCATGAAAAATTCAAATTATAACTGAAGATTTACAGGAGAAGAAAAGAAAATTTTGTTTTCATAATAGAGGATGATAATATTTCTAAAAGGAACAATACCAAAATCCTTTCAACTTATAATAAATATCTACCAACGAATCGATTACAAAACATGATTTGTTTTTTCGTCCCCAAACCTCCTTCGACGCACTGTGCGGCAATGGAAGATTAAATTCCCGGTCGCCTCGTGTATTCAATTGCCTAACGAAAGAACAGCCGGGAACCTAGAGACGTTGGCACCGGTAACGTGTTCGTTTTTACATTTTCCGGAGAACAATTGTCCTGATCGAAAAAGTTCTCGACTCGAGGCGAACGCGGGTACCGTCCGTGAACAAGTAGAGAGGCAAGGTTCGGCCGCTCGCGCGGCTGCGATCGGTCCCGGCGGAGATAACCTATCCAACTCGCCTGGGACTTGTGTTTCTCTTGGGCTCCTTCCGGTTCGCTTTACGATCTGCCTCAATCGCATCAGGATCAATCCGTAGCGAACGTGGCGCTCCGTGATTTGGACAGCTCGAGAAACTGACCTGTTGACGAGCCGCGGAACGGGAGCCAACCCGTTTGGCTCCCCTCCCCCTTTTCACATTCGGGAAACGGAAAAGAAAAGTCAACGCGACGTGTTCTCGCGGACGGCTGCCCGTAAACATG